AGTTTTTAGCTAATAACCAAAGGTGTTGTTCATTATTTTACTAATGAGAAAAACATTCAATAGTCTGTTGAGACAAGTGAGAAAAAAATATAAGAACCAACTACTACACACCACATGAACAACAATGGCTTTTAAGTTAATACTGAGGTTGCCAACAATATTCCTCTATTGCCTTTTTCAAGGTAGTACACGTGTTTAACATTGGTTGTAGCAATTGAAAGGAAAGAGGGAATAAATCCCTAACATCTGAAACATAAAATAAATGGCAAAAATAAATTAAGTGAACAAGGCAAAATGACATTCCCACAACGACATGAACTAAATGCAACGCTAAGCTGAACGAGCCACATGAACAACTTGTGACCTTATTTTTCCCAGTTTAAACTACTTTTATCACAAACCACCATTAAAGCTCCTCTGTAACAGCTTAAGTGTAAGATTAAAGACCATCTTTTAACAAAATAGTTTAGAAGTTCATGTTGAAATAAGCCTTGTAACTAATTGAGATTGGTTGAGGCTTAGTTCTAGACATGCAAGTATATCATTCACATTGAATGATTAGAGGTTTTCATTCATAAATAAAACATCAATTGTAAGGTTATAACTTTATTGGATAAAGTCCATGAGAATTATATGCCTTGTAAGGGAATTATAATGGGTTAAAATTATGAGATCCTTATGCATTAAAGTATAATATCTAAATGTTCCTAATCGATATATCTTTGAGACTGGACATCAATGATGCTCAAAGATTAGTGTATGCTATGTTCCTTACTTGGGAAGTAAGCAATCGATCTCATAGGTTGAAGTATATAGATACTTGGAACTAGAATGTAAGTTCTTGTTTCATGAACAAGTTCATTGAACATAACTTAACATGCGAAATGCATTTGGTATTTCACTCTAGTGTCTATGCAAATATTTCTCATGTGTCAGTCGTGTAAATACTACTTCGACTTGAGACACCAGATTGTCTATATATGGAGTACTATATATTTGATCATATCCTCACGAGTCCTACCAAGAATGCCAAAACAGAATATGGTTGGTTGTAGCATGAAACAAGTGAAGGCAAATGAGTGGTCAAAAAAGAAATCATCATCCCGAGTGATTTAGGGGATATATCCTAGCAGTTCTTGGTTGATATTAGGTTGTTGAAGTCCTTGGTCAAGGTATCTTGGAGATTGTGAAAAGAGTTTCATAAGTTTTTATAATGCTAATGATCTAACTTCATGACTGAATATAAAGATCAATAAGAGTAGACACTGTACCATACTCTTATCATTTTCGAGATACATGATGAGGGAATGAATTACTCTCATAAGTTGTACATTAAAAGGTTATCAAAGAACTCTTTGACTCTTCTCAAAATTGGATAATCATGATGCATTGCTAGATGCCAATCTTGATCTATGGAATTGAATTAATTAATTTAATAAAGATTATAATTCAACTCCATTGCCAACATGTTAAAAACCTAATGGGTCACACACAATAAGTTGCATTAAGTATTAAATTGGGAGTATGATGATTTAAGTTGGACTTAAATCATACACTAGGGTTTTAACCTCTAAAGACTTAATAAAAATAGTTTAATTAAGTATAAAGCCAATATTATAACTAGTTATACTATTAAGGCCTTAATTGCAAACAATAAAGTAAATTAAATTTGATTTTAACTTACAATGACTTAATTAAAAAGGATTAATTAAGTGTTAGACCAATATTATAAAATGTTAGAATAGTAAGGCCATATTTGCAATTTAAGAAGTTAATTGACCTAGATATAAATATCATTTTTCAGTTACTCCTTACTAGAGAGAAAAAGAAAAATACACAAGTTGGGTTTTTGAGTTGTCAAAAAACTAACAAGAAAACTTTAACTACACCCTCTCTTGAAAAATTTTGAAAAAATAGTTTTCCAACTTTGTGATTTTACTGAGAGGAGTATGATTGTGTGGAGGGGATAAGTGACGGCTCACCTTGCTAACACAAAGGCATAATTGAGAAAGCTCCCTGCAACCGTCAGAAGCCAACCATTTGAATGGCTCGGGTTCTTCACCCCTTTTGTGGTGTTCGTAGGTTAGTAAAAGGAAGATGTACCATTGTGATAGCCACATCATTTGGCAAAGATAATTTTATTTTTCTGATTGCTCCTATCTTCTAGTTTTGTTTGTATTAAAACTACCAAGGTAATCCATGAGTGATAGTATAGGATTTTGTTTAAAATTTTTTTATATTTGTTTTCTGCTACATATAACATAACAATTATGATCTCTTCCATGCTACGTAATACCCAACAATATAATTACATGTGAAGAAAGTATTAGCACCTTCACATCTATTTATATTGGTACAAATTCTTTATAATTAATATAATTCTTAAATTCATTAATTGTTCTAAATATAATTGTCATAATGTGTGAGTCTTAAAACTCAAATGTTCAATATAAAAGAGGATTCACATGTAATTGACGTGCAATTGAATAAGTTCAGGGGTACAACTACTTATAAGGAAAGTATTAGTACCTTCACAATGCTCATTGAAATTGATACCTTTTTTTTGTTCACAAATTATTCTTAAATCCTACAAACCAATCAAAATAGTATTGCAAGTATTTTCAAACAAGACAAAAATAAATAACACTTAAATGCATAACAAACTTGTAAAATAACATGTTGTCTCTAGTTTTCATTTCTCTTTCCCTTACAGTGCTTAAATACATAACAAACTTGTAAATCAATATGCTTTGTCTAGTTTCCATTTCTCCTTCCCTTACAGATACAACTAATGTGGAGGTAACTATCATAATAAAATATGCAAAAGAAAACAAACAAGTCGAGGCAGACCAATATCAAATTAGCAATTTCTTTCTTCTTCCCTATTTCATCATAAAGCTATTAAGGCACTTCTAGGTCTGGTCTTTGATCAAATACTATTCTTGTTGATTCATCCAAAAACGCATCTAGATATGTAGCCATAATTTTTTCCTTCATGCTCTTAAGTTTTTGAAATATATTCTCAAGGTACGACATCATAAACTTTAAGAGACGTGTATTTCTTGGTCCCTTTATAAACTTCAAACAACTTCAACACATCATTATCACTTTTCAATTCCATAACCTCCTTTGATTTAAGGTACCGTGCAGTAATGGAGACACCCATTCCAACTCCAGCATTAGAATCGTCCACCAACACTTCAAAGACATCATTTGTTAGCTCTTTGTAGGAATGTCTATTTGGATTGACATCTTCGATAGTCATCACTTCTCCTTTATGGTGCATGACCAAGTCATATGGCATCTCTACTATGTCTAGACTATAAAAGCCCAATTAAAATAGGTTAATAACTTTGAAATATTAAACAATAACCTAGAACCTGAATGGCAACCTTAAACCTCAACCAAATTAAAACATATTTTAAAAACCCTAAATTCAAATCTAGAAATCTCAATTTTCAGAACCCTCAACCCTAGTCCCTTAATTTATTAATTTAAGGTCAAGGTTTTAAAATTGAGGATTTAGGGTCTTTGGGTTAGTCGAACCTAAACACTAACCTTAAATTCCAAATTTCAGAACCCTAACTATTAAATTCCTAAATTAAAGAATTAAGGTTTAAGGTTCTAAACAATTTGATTGTCCATAACCTTAAACCTTAATTCTTTTATTTAGAGGTTTAAGGGTCTAGGTTTAAGGTTACTCGAACCTAAACACTATCCTTAAACCTTAATTTCAAAACCTTATTCTTAAAATTCTAAATTCAAGAATTAAGGTTAAGGTTTTGGAAATTAAGGTTAAGGTATTGGAAATTGGGATTTTAGGTTTAGTTGTTTGGTTCGGGTTCGGGTTGCCCAATTCAGGGCTTTAAGGTTTTGGGCCTAGGTTATAACCTAACCTTTAACTTAAACTTTAATCTAAACCTATTCTTGATCCTTCACCACATCAACAACAGGCAAAAAACCCTAAACCATAGAAACTATTCTTGCACATGAAGACCACATAAGTGAAAACAACCCTAAACATTAAAACCCGTTCCCATACATAAGGACCACATCAACAAAAACAACATCTATAAACCACAAAACCCTAACCCTAACCTTAAACACCCATATGTTAGGTTTAAATAAATGTAAAGGAGTAGCACTCCTTATTTATTTTTTCACATTAGCTTATTGTAAAAGAGTAATATTATTTTCCTTAGCATTATTAAAATTTGCTTAGAAAATAATATCTCTCTTAGGAATCATATTTTTTACTACACATTAGATCACTATAAAAGAAATAAATTGCTTCTCCTATGCACATAGAAAATCAATGCAATGAGAGTAATATTTCTCTTAGGTTTTATTATCCATTTTTACTTTTGGAGGTAAGGTTTATATCCCCTTCCATAATGTACTTTCTTTCTTGATAATTAATAAAAATTTAATAAAGAGATAAGCTTGAGAGCTATTTTAGCATAAAAAAACCCTAACCCTGGACATAGTAGTAAAACATACCAATGTTTGATGATTGATGAACCTTAATCCTTCACTGTCTCGATTTGGGTATAGGTTTAAAGATTAGAAACAAAGGTTGGATTTTGGGTTATTTTGCTGTAGGGTGAAGCTTCTAATTGAAGCAGAAGGTTAAAAAAAAACCTTAATTGATCATTGATGTAGTGACTACTGATTAGAGAATGAGAGGAGAGAAAGGGGGTACAGTGATTAGCAAGCATTTACATGTGATTAAGATTTATTTATACATGGGCAATTTTGACATTTCACACTTCTCATTAATCGCATTTAAACTTTTATGGTGAATTGTTCATTTCTAATATTTATGGGTCTGTGTAGAATTATATCTTAAAATTAAGGAGTGAGGGTATTTTACTTTAATTT